ACAGAGTAGGTATCCACCCAGCAACTCTGACACCAGCTTTTCAGTGACACTAGTTGCATTCTCATCAAAACATTCTGATGACCTTCATTTTGGTTGTTCCATTTCCATTAATCTAGTTTCCTGTTTCTTGCATTCTCATCTTTCTTCTGAAGTGACTGTTAACCAGTTGGTCTCACATAGGTGATTTTTTTAAAGGAGCACAGAACTTATGATGATGTTCATTATTTTGGAGGGCTAGGCCCTCTTCCATTACCTATAACACTCCTGCTTACTTCTGCCACAATGTCACTAATGATTTGCACTTCCTGGAGTCTTCCTTCTCTACTCTCCAACTCCTCCTCCACGTTGTTAGTTCCAACTTCCACTTTGTCATGTAAAATTATCTTGTTCACTTATCTGTGGTTATTTTTTTTTAATCTCTTCACCATCACCCACCAGAATACAAGGTCCATTTGAGCAAGAACTCTGTCTGTTTCATTAATTACTACATTTCCAGAAACAATTTAGGTAATCTTTAATGAATGAATAGTCTGTTGCCCTTATTTAGCATTATATTTCTAATACTCAGGCACCTAAATGGGAGAAAGATGGCTGACTGCCTCCTGTCTGATTTACAGCCTCCAAAAACATGCTGGAGGGTAAGCTATCAGTCCGTTGTGACTTAACAACAATGAGTTTGGGTTACAGGTACCTGACGACAAGTAGGCATTCAGCAAACATCTATGAATGAATAGTTTCATATAATTTTAGATGTCACCTCTCTCCAAGATTCCTAATTTCTAGCTTTAGATCCATTCTCACTACTGAATTTTATTAGTCCTATACTGATACGTCAAATGCGATAATGGTTACCCATGGTGCACAGTGTTTGGTAGAGCTCCCCGATGGAAAAAAACATGGAAGCAGGAGTGGCATCCCCTTTCAAAATAGCTTGCCTCTGGAGACCCGATGAACTTGGAGACATGATGAAAGTTATACAGGTGTTTAGGTATTTCATTCATAGGGTCACTATGAGTTGACTATGACTCAACGGCAATTAACAACAACATAGAGGGAGCTCAGTTGGCCTAGTGGACAGAAAGTGATGCTACGAAGGCAAAGACATGGCATTTTAATTTGCGGCCCTCATGTCTGGTTTTAATTGTTTTTGGTCAAACATTCTTCTAAGGGGCATAACACTAGTCTGTCCATTTGCTGTACAGAGGTAACTCATGGTGGCTGTCATGCTAAACATTGTGACAGTGATGTGTCAAATGTGATAATGGTTACCCATGGTGGACAGTGTTTGGTGGAGCTCCCTGATTAAAACAAACCTGGAAGCAGGAGTGGCATCCACTTTCAAAATAGCTTGCCTCTGGAAACCCTATGAATTTGGAGACAAGATGAAAGTTATACAAGTATTCAGGTCTTTTGTTCAGAGGGTCGCTATGAGTCACCTACAACTTGGCAGCAATTAACAACAACAACAACAACATATTCAGTCTATGTGTCTATTTAAATATAAATCTCACTCCACTCTCTCACTGCCAACAAATTGGATAGAAACAACTCATAGCTGATCTCCATTGAGTTTCCAAAGCTGTAAATCACATGGAAAGAAATTTCTCCTGAGAAGTCAGTGGTGGATTTCAAGTGTCTGATAGGTGGAGATTTTGGGTCACACAGTCAGCCCCCCAAGTTCCCTTACATTAATAAGTGCCATTTCACCATGCTGGCAAACCAACCTTCAGAAAGCTTGTGTCAAATAATTCCTAGCAAACCAACCTCCAAAGGAAACCATGGTAAAGTTAGTTTTAGGGAAACGTGAACACACTATATATAAGGCAAAAGTCTTAGGTTCTTCAGATACCAGTAAGAAACTCTGGTGACATTGTAGTTAAGGCATTTGGTTGCTAACCAAAAGGGATGTGGTTTAAATCCAGCAGATGCAACTTGGGAGAACAATGTGGCAGCTGACTTCATAAATATTTACAGCCTTGAAAATCCTACAGATAGTTCTACTCTGTCAGACTATTTGCTGTTGTTGTTGTAAAGTGAAACTGAGTCGAGCATGACTCATTGCAACCCTATGAACACAATACCTGAACCCCGGTCTGAAATTATCGTTATTTCTCTGCGCTCATAGAGTTTCTAGAGGCATGTTGTTTAGGAAGAGGATGCTACTCCTGCTTCCAAGTCTGTCTCAATTCTGGAAGCTCCACCAAACACGGTCCACAATGCCTAACTATTTTGGCATTTAACACACCAGTGGCACAGCATTCGGAATCACAGCAATCTCAAGTTACTTCAGTACAGCAAATTGACAGAGCAGTGATGTACCACCTAGAAGAATGTTCATCCCAAAAATAATTAACACTAGGTCTGAGGGCGGCAGGCACGCGCCAAGTGGGCTAACCACCTTTTAAGTCCAAGCTCGCTCACCAGGTCTAGGTTGACTCTAAACAACCGGATTCTAGCCCACAGTTCATTGTTAGCTAAATCCCCAAAGCCAATCACCTCATACCCGATTGTGAAGGGAAAGTATCAAACACCCAAACTGTCTATAAGTGAACCTCACCAAAGCAAGAGAACCCACCTTCCATAACCCAACCATATCATACGTGTGCCTCCAAACTATGTCATACTATTAGTTGTCTACTTGTTGTTGTTATGTGCCATGGAGTTGCCTGCCACTCATAACGAGCCAATGTACAATAGCTCTGAAGCCTGCCCTGTACTGAGCCAGTCTCACTAACTTCAACGTAACTACCCCTGTTGCCCTAGTTACTACATCAATCCCTATCCTCTGGGGTCTTCCTCTCCTGTGCTGTCCCTTCACCCTTCCAAGCATGAGGTCCTTCCCCAAGGATCAGTCCCTCCTGGCCACGTGTCCAAGAAATGAGAGATGGAACTTCAAAATCCTAGCGTCCAAGAAGAAACTTGGTTTCCCCCTCTTCAAGATAGATCTATTTGTTTTCTTGGTGGTCCATGGTATGCATGTTCAAGACTCTTCTGCAGTACAACACAAAGGCATAAATTCCATACATTCTTCTTCTATCCTTCCTTGGTCATTAGCCAGTTCTCTGATATAGAGCAAGTAATTGCAAAGACTATGGACTGGATCAGTCCCACCTTAGTTTCTAGATTGACATCACTGCTTCTCAGTACTCTGGAAAGGTCCCTGACAGCAGATTTACCTCATGCAATTCACCTTTGATTTCCTGACCGCTGGTGCCAAAAGTGTTAGTTCCAATTAGTCTTTGACTATCATTATATAATAATATATATCGTGCTCAGACGGGTGGAGGGACAATGCAGGAGAGGAAGACCCTGGATGAGATGGATTGATACAGTATCAAGGACAATGAGGGTTCGTTGGTGTATCAGAATTAGTGAGACTGGCTCAGGACATGGAAGGGTTCAGAGCTGCTGTATATAGGGTTGTTATACGTTGCAGGTGACTCAATGGCACATAACAACAACAAAATACTATACTGGTTATTTTTAATTTAAGCCTCTTGTGTAGAGTTAACAAGACCTCGAGGTGGGCCTTTGTATTTAAAAGTCAGTTGTTATTATTTTGGAGGAACATTCTTCCTAGTGGTACAGCACTCTTCTGTCAATATGCTGTACTGAGGTAACCTGCGAGTTGCTGTGATGCTGGACCTTGTGTCAAATGCCATAATGTTTATCCATGGTGAACAGTGTTTGGTAGAGCTCCCAGTTTAAGACAGGTCTGGAAGCAGGAGTGGCATCCACTTCCTAAACAAATGCCTCTGGAAACTCTATGAACTTTGATAAATGACGATAGTTATAGAAAGGCTTCAGGCCTTTTGTCCATAGGGTTGCTATGAGTTGTTCTCGACTCAATGGCAATCAACAACAACAACAAAATTATTATATTAGAGCTTTGGTGGCCTAGTGGCAAGAAGCTGTGCTACAATCCCGAAGGCATGTGGTTCAAGACCACCAGCTGTTCCATGGGAGAAGGGTGGGCAATCTCCTCCTGTGCAATAAACTGTCTCTGAAAACCCACCTAAGGGTCAGCTATGCATCAGTTCTGACTCTATGGTAGCCAACAACAGCAATTATTGTATTACTCTACTCTGTCATACTGTTAGTCTACTACTATACACACTACTCTGTCTCACCCCAGTCAGAATAGCAAAATTTAACAGAGTAGCAAGCAACAAATGCTGGTGAGGTTGTGGAGAAACTGGAACCCTTATTCACTGTTGGTGGGAGTGGAAAATGGTGCAACCACTGTGGAAGGCGGTATG